TAAATTAAAAAAAGTAAAGTTACATCTTATATACGTCCCAATACTGGGCACAGACCTCCACTCATTTCTGAAAGGGTTTTAGGGCAAGGCAGTCTGCGTCGCGCTGCCCCAATGCGTGTTGGCGAACTTCACATGTTTTCGAAATACGTTTTTTTAGTTTTTTATATCTCAGACATGCCGGTTTCCTCACGATGGTTTCCTTCTTCGCCGAGCACGTGGTAAATCAGCACTTAAAATTGCAATTAACAATCTCATTGGTGCTGGCGGGTATCAAACCCGGGTTGCTCGCGTATTGTGAAATTTACAGCGAGTGGCGCTCGTTGTAAATTTTCCATTATTAACCATCTGATGGCTCCATGACTCTGTATGTCTATACTGAGTGAAATATTTGAATTTTAATGGAAAAAATCCGTAATTTAGTTTTGCACTTGGCTGTTTATTTTAGTTTTACAGGGCAATGAAGAGAATATAAAGAGATAAATTATTCACTTGGAAATAATATTTTGATAAAAGTTCACAAGAAAAAGGGATATGGTACAAAACTATCCACAGTTGTCCAGAGCCTCCAAAAGTGAATTGGTTATTGAATGGAATATCTGCTTTATTGAATTGGTTTATTGAATAGAATATCTGCTTTATTAGCAATGCGACTTCGATCCAGACACATTCCGTGCAACAAGTTTGCTTTCATAATGAAAAAGAAACAATCTCCAAATTGCGAAACGTGCAACACAACAGAAGATATACAAATACATTTACTCGCGAAATGTTTCAGGAACCATTGCGATAAGAAACTGTTGGTCAATAAAACTAACATAGGTGAATATCAAAGCATTTACTCTGAACCATTGTCAAGTGCTCTCAAGTGGTGTATAAGTAATTCAATACATTGTTTTGGTTTATTTAGTTATAAGGTAGAACAGGAGATAGAACTGACAAGTTAAAAATAACGGAAGTCCCATAATTGAAAAAAAATAGAAAAAAACTTGTGATGTAAGTTAAAGTAGAATAAAAAAAATGTGTTCCCGGATAAATTGCAATTGTTACGTGAGACTTGGTAAGAGCACTGATCGATCCATGTTTTTCGTTCAAACACAAACACATGAAACAATAGCAATGTGTGTTACGCGAACACCAATCTCAAATATATTAGAAGCGCCCTTGACTCGGAATTCAAAATCGCTGATCCTTGAATCTGGGGTCGCCTTCTTACAAATACTATTAAAGATTGACACACAATAAAAATTGAAAAGCTTTTGTGTCAGTTAATCTTTATGTACCTACATGGTTCTACTCTTACCTCGCAAATGATCTAACAACACTAATAATTTATGATACATTTTGCTTTGTATAATCCTTAGAAGATAATCTACTATCAGATAATTCGAATCATATAATGAAGAATTTGTAAGACCTAATCCGACTTTTAATAAGTAATAACCTAAAAATTGCAATAATTCAATAGAGTTTAGCATACAATCTGAAAAATATGTCATATCTCTCAAGAATTTAAAGATGAATATCGTCATAGTTTACAGCATTTGAAAAACACGTGTCGCCAAAAGAGCGCTCGTGTGTTTTTTTTTTTTATAGGATAGGGTGACAAATGAGCACACAGTCCACCTGATGGTAAGTGGCCACTGCGACCCATAGACATCTACATCTATCCTCATTAAAGACTCAAGATGCAGATACGTTGTCGCCCGTGAGGACTAAGACGGAATGCCTCTTTGCCAGTAAAAAGGGTCTCCGGTTCTCTACACTCACCATACGAAACACAGCAGCGTTAAGCTGCTATTTTACGCTGGTTTTCTGTGAAAGCGTGGTCCTTCCCCGGTCGAGCCGACCCATTCGTGCTACAACTATACCACTAATATAGCTGCAGCATGGCTCTACCACGTATAAAATGTAAGCTAATAATGGCAAAATTATAAGTGGTAGAGCCATGCTGCAGCTATATAGTTGTAGCACGAATGGGTCGCCTCGACCGGGGAATGACCACGCTCTCACAGAATACCAGCGTAAAATAGCAAATTAATGCTGCCGTGTTTCTTATGGTGTGTATAGAGAACCGGAGAACATTTTTGCTGGAAACGAGGCATTCCAAGTTAGTCAACACACCTGCATTTTTATTTTTAATCGAGAATAGATGTATATGGCTATGAACCACAGCATCCCCTTCCATTAGGTGGGATTTCTGCTCGATTGTCATCCTTATTCTATTAAAAAAATGGGCCGGCTAGCTACAAGAAACGACAACCGATGGGAAAAAGGTTCTGGAGTGGCAGCCGTGTACCGATAAACGAAGTGTAAGGTGGCTTCTACTAGATACAGTGACCACATGGTAAGAGATGCAGGAAGTCGATGGACCCAGTGGGTTACTCGGGACCGTTATTTAAGTAAGGTGTTACTTAGGGTAGGCCTATGTTCAGCATTGGATGATGATCACAGCCTGTCGGCAGGTATATAATATTGCGCTGTCATGTAATTTGCTTTATAAATTAATTAAAACTAACATATGGCATCACTATTGAACCCACGATAAATGAAGACAGTTGTGCCGCCACCGAAAACAACCCTGTGACTTCTAACGTCTCAATCCAATCCTAAGGTTACAAAAAATATTAATTATTTAATTAATATAGTATATATTATATGGCAAAAATACATTTCATACGACGGCTATCATAATTAGGAATAGCCTGACGTCAAACCACACCTTGACACAGCCAAATATTGTGATATGAGCATGGGCCAAGTGCTATCGCTACAATTTTAAGTCCCACGTGAATACACGCCGACACTGCGATCAATTTTAGTTACAGGGTCATTATTTTCAACAAATTTCATATCTATGATACACTGAAATTTACGTTGAATTTTTTCTTTTTAAGTGTTTAGAGTATTGTTGTTTTTATTTTAAGCACATAATAATAATACCGCTTTTTTGCTCGACTTGGCGGGGGCACTACCGTGCCCCCAGATCTTGAGGTGTAGACAGTCTTTAAGGAGTATAACACATTACTTGGAGATAAAACAAACTGTTCTCAAACCGGAATACTTTGTCGAGACTTTCATCTATAAAAGCTAAAACATAAGAAGAATTTTCAAGAAATTAATGCAGAATAATGTTTATTGAAACTAATTTTTACGGATTTTCTCGCGTTTAATTTAACTTTTTAATTCCCGACGTTTTGGATGCTTTACAGCATCCATGGTCACGGGGGCGACTGAGGTGTTTAAAGATGTGATAATTATCCCGGCTACCTTCAGTTTTTGAATATTAATTTTTGGTCCTATCTACGCAGAATGAGCTTACAGTATTTTGAAGTCTTGCAGTGGTATGCTTGGGTTTGGATTTAATTTTATTAATCATAGTATCCCAAGCAGATGGCGGCACCCATCCGTCTTCTTTTTTGAAATTAGGATGTTTTTTAATTTCAATAGCCTGATGGCCTGATAGCCAATGATGATGGCTATCAGGCCATCAGGCTATTAGGGATTCGTTGATTAGCAGAATACACCGCGTGTAGGTATAGCTTTAATTTCAAAAGCTGTTTATATTTCCCTATACCCTAAATATAAGAAAAAAATGTTTCTAAACAACAAAGCAATAATTCAATTCCTTGATAAACTTCTTTGGATCCGCATTTGTATTTATAGTATTACCCTAAAATAAATATGTATGTCATTTTACCAAATTGAATTAGGTATAGTATAAAGGCAAAAGTGTAAAAAATCCATCCCGTTCCGTCGTATCGTAAAATATGACTAAGGGATGTATTAAGTAAAATCGCATGGGGTGCGACAGACAAGGCAGCTAAAATAACCATCTAAATACGCCAACTTTATAATGTCTACACACCACAAATATGGTGATACTGTGTTAACCAATACGCTTACCAAGTATTACGTGTGAGATGAGAGGCAATTTTGATTTTAACTGCCGACAAATTGTGAACTATTTGGTTGATTATTACCTATTACCTAACATGCCATTTTATATTACTTGTAGGTTTTATTTTGTTTGAATACTTTTAGCAATATGTAACAAATAAATTATATTTAGTATTCGGTTTGAGTAATCTATTTATATTTTTGTTAATAAATTAAATATGCGTTATAATTGCATACGGTTGCTTTGTAATAATATATTATGTATATATATGTAAACCAATGATTAAGCTTGTACGATTTAATGGATAACTATAATTCTAATAAAGACAATATTAAATATTACATACTCAATAAGACTACATAATAAGTGTTCCCGTTAAAATGGTGTATTTGGTGGTGGGGTGGCCCGTGTAGCGTGTCCTCGGACAGGTCACGCGAACGCAAACTTGTTTCGCGAGTTCGAGACGCACTTTCACCGCGCCTCGCCTGCGCTCGCGCCGCCTACACCCCACCCTCCCACCTACTGCTCGCTGATGGTAGCGCCACTTGCTATTCCGCATCTGCTTGTAAAATCCTAAGTTCCTTATGATACCAAGAACAAAGGAAGACTACGATTTACGATACAGTTTTGCTAGCTAACCAAAAATGTTGATCGGTCGGTTCCCTTCTACAAACAAGTAAATATCCGGTTATATTAAAATCCTTTGAGTTTCAATCGCATCGAGTAGATCAGATTTCGAGTCCGAAGCCCCGAATGTTTCCTAGCTGAATGCTACTTTTTAAGGAAATTTTAAAGCACAGTTGAATCTTTTAAAATCAGGCTTAGTTACCATTATTATACACTTTCTATGAACAAGCGAACGATGCAATACATTGACCGGCTAAAACTACAAAATCGACGGGGCGGGCGGAAGTGTGGCAGTGGCGAAAAGCTCGCAACTGCACGAGGAGAAAGGAAGCGGCGCGCCGCGGCGTGATAAGGCCTGCGGGTTGCGAGGGGCGAGTAGCGGTGCGAGGGGGCGAGTGCGCGCGCACCAGTGCCCCAGCTCCCCGCGCCACGCCGCTCGCCTCTTGTCAGTCGCCCGCCGACTCTGCTTGTGCTTGTGTGACTCGCGCCGCTCTGTGCACCGCACTCGTGCCCCGAACACGACGCGTGCCGCTCCGCTGTGGCCGCGAACCGCGACCTCTGTGCTACCGGCGAAACGTTTCACCCGACTTTCGAGTGACTTGCTGTGATTTGAACTTTCGAACGTTTACTTACGCTCCCTTACCCGGCTTGTTTACCCGCTCATCATGTAAGTGATCCGCTCATTCTAGCAGATGCGTCCCGATATTGTCGAATTCGGAACTCGCGTTCAAAGTGTGCGCCGTGAAAGTTTTGTGAAATAAAACTAGTGAATTTTTTCGCTAATGTGTATCGGCCCGTGCTGTTTTAATAATCTCATCTCTCAGGTGCTCATCACTAGTGAACGGAGACGTTTTGTTGGCGAATTCCGAATTTCGACGAAGAAAGTTAATAGAAATTCCGGAGCGACGGCGTAATCCAGTGGTGCTGGCCTGCCTGAATGACGTTCGCTCCGTCGTTGGTCCCGCATGAGAGCTTTCGCCTCGGTTAAACCACCGGGTGCAGCGCGTTTATCGCACGGGGTCCCAATCCTAAAGCTTTTATCAATATTGCTTGTAACGTAATAGTTTTTCAGTAGAATTTCTTACTCCCTTATTTCCTGACATAACTTTCTTCCTCCTGGAGTGGTTCATGGGTCGGTTTATTAAATACATAACGAACTTAAGTGTTAAGTATAAAATATAAAAATGTAAGTAAAAATTCTCATATGACACACATAAAATTTTACGTATTATATTATTTATATTTTTATCAAGTTCAAAAAATGAGGAAATTCTATAGTCGGCATGTAATTTTTTAGTTTATATTTATATTATGGACTGACTTAAATTATAATTTTTATTATAGAAATTGTACTTCGGGGGTCCCATAAAAATCTAAAGAATAATTTCAAATTAAGGGTGAAAAAATAGTTGTTAGTTCTTGAAGTCGGCTTGTACATTTTATTGAAAGTTTAACTATATTCTTAATATTTACTCATTTTTAACACCTGCCCTGCTTTGTGTCAGATGAAGCTGTAAGAGCCGCATAGGCTAACAGCACAAACATCACGATAATAGTTTTCAGTTTTAACAATTTGTTTATTATTTTCCCCAACAAAAATCAAGCTTAATATCACGTACGTAGCAAACGTAATATCAAGCGAAAATCATTTAACATTCCAAAACATCTTTACACCACAATATATTATGTATCGCCTCAAAATTGTATCTTATCTAGCGATAAGTCTTTTAACGATTCACTTTATATCAACGCAAAAATATTTTAAATATTGTATTTTTAGAACAATGTTTAAACATAATTTGTGTAAAATAGGGATATCTGATGGACTTCATCATCATAATTATCGTTACAGCCCATCACAAGTCCACTGCTGCCACAAAACACGGTCCTGGGCCACCTGCATCCATGACTTACTCCATTTTAAATTATTTTATCTTCCGTAAAATAGAAACATCGTATTTTGTCGTAATAGCGCTTCATTTTAACTTATTATTACAAAAGGTTCCAAATAAAATTAAACTAAAATTTATACTTTAAAAAAAGTGAAAACCGAATTCAAAAACTGAAAAGACTAAAATAATTTCCACATAAGTAGGTACCTAGTATAAGTAGCTTCTGAAGTTGGTGCTAATAGATAGTGTATCGAAGAATAAATCTGCGAATTCGTTAACTATTAAGTATAAATTATTTTAGTGTTTTTAGTTTTTGAAGTCGGTTTTCACATTTTTTTAAAACTTAATTTTTAGAAATTAAATTTGTTGGAACCTTCTATAATATTATGTAAAAGCAAAGCACTGCGACAAAGCATAAAATACAGTAAGTTTCTTTTAAAAGTCAATTTTACTTTTATATGGTTTTATTTTTATACCCTTTTAAGTGGACTAAATAAAATCACAATTTCAAGGTAACAACTAGAATGTCGTGTTAACATTTAAACCTTCACCCCTATTTTTACCCTTAAAGAAGATTTTTTTCTTAAAATTAAAGGACCAAAACCCTTCAATTATAAACCTATTAAATAAGAAAAATCTTTCTAATGGATTAAGGAAATTACAAAAAATCGGTGAACATACATACATATAAAGTTTCGAACATCGAACGTTTCTAATGTAGAACCTGCATTGATATATTATTAAAAGGGGGAAGATTTTAATAGTATATCAATGAGAACCTGCCGTTTTTTGAACTTAGTTAAAATCGCAGACGAAGTATTTCACATTTTTACACAGGAATTAGTACACATACTAAAGACAAGAAGAAAATATTTAAACAGAGATTATTTCCAATTTTACTAAATTGATGTTAAACTTATTTTGAACAAAACAACATTCAACTTAAAAATATGTATTTCAGCATAATCATGAATCACGAACTCTTAGCTTGTTTCTGCCATATTCGTTCAGTGCTCAACAATAGTAAATAAAGTGATACAATTACAAAATGTAACATTAACATTAATATTACGAATAAAAAATTGTGAAAAATAACTTATAATATGAATTTATAATTATAATTCAGAAACATTATTGAGTCAAATACATACATAAATAATAGCACACGCAACGCGTAAAATTATTATATTATTTATACTGCATAGTAAACATTATTTAAATGAAAAAATAAAATTATTGAAGCGCTAAAATGTAAATCAAATCAGTGTGTAACAACTATTTGATAGCTTTTAGTGTGCAGAGTGAACGAGTAAAAATTACAAAATGCCAGTTTGCTCGCGTGTTAATTTTTAAAACGTTGGGTCTATTGGTTCAGTTAAGGTCTACAATGGTCCGTTTGCAACGTTCCATCTACGAAGGCAACAGCTGGTCCCCGCTACCTGCACCCGAATAAAACTTGTCAATAGGAGCTCGGCCCGTGGTATTATTATTGAACTCTTTTGTTCATTTTATATTCACTATAAAACAAAAATAATGCTTATAAAACTAAGACAATACTGTGTTTTAAATTTTAAATTTGCTGTGGAATCTCATATGCTAAGTTTTAGCCAAATTCTATTTCACTTTAACTACCTTTTTGTTGGTGAACAAATTTGCAGCGACAATAAAATATCGTTAAATGTTTCCTAGTAATAATTTATATCTTATCAGTGTGTACAAACGGATGTGACATAGCCGAAGCTGCACTAGATTACGTTACCAAATTAATCATTGATAAGATAATTGCGACTTAAAATTTCTATGGTCTCTCACGAAGTATTTTTTGGGTACTGCGTACTAAATACTTAAATTTTTATATTAATTTTGTTTTGCCTTGAACTTATCATTTTTATTACACATCTGATAGGCGTTTCTTGGTGTGCGTCAGCAGTATTATCGCATTTAGGTATATACAAAGCGACCTATGCGTTGCATATTACCGACGCTTAGAGTTGTATTTTTATGTTTTGTCGATAGCGATACGATCAGTTGAATGTCGGGCCCCCTGCTCTCGTCGCAGCATGCTCGATAAGGCGTGTACATTAACGGGTGCGCTGCTACGATAGCGCCGGAATCGAGTAATTTGCGCCTCGTAAATTTTAAGCCGTCGCAAATTTTTCGCCTCTACCGTGCTAATTACCAGTCCGCCGCCGTCCCCGGAGTCTGCTAAATGTTCTTCGTGCACGTCCCGAATACGAGAGCAACACTAGTTACGATGTGCTGTGCGCGCTAACAATGGCTTTTGTTTTGACTACCGGAACTGACCTACGTGTTCGGCTAATCATTCGGTTAATTTCGAACATTCCGTATGTTGTTACTCGATTGGCCTTTTGTCAGATTTTTTTAATTACATGCCATGGGCCGCATTATTGGTTTATTCGTTCCATTATAGACTAATGTGATTTTAAATTGAAACCTTTTATTTCAAAGTTTTAGAGAAATAGCCATAATGTATTAGGTATGTTGATCTGGAATTTCGATTTTGTTGTTACGTTAACAAAAATTTTTAAATTTGGAACTGATATTTTTGAAAATACAATTGAAAATATTTTAATATTTAAAAAAAAGTAACGTATTAGGAAATGATTAAGTTAAACCCAAACAAGAAAACCTAGTTATAAATGTATCTCTTTATTTTTGTAAAGCTAATATTTTCAATGTTACTAATTACTATTTTCTAATATGTACCCCAACGCTCTGAATCACCCACCACACTCGATCAACAAATGTGGTATCGTGCGCAGAATAACGAATGGTAAATTGGTGACATCACTTGCGACTCATACGAATTGAACATCTGACAAAGTTATACGATTTTGAACCATCGTATCAAACTATTATAACTCATTTTACTTAACGTGTTTAAACAGTGTCCCTGAACATTATAACACTTTAGGAGAATTGATAGATATATCAGACGAAAAAATTTAATTACCTCATGCATTTACAGGAAAGGATCAAATTATGCTCAAAATTTTAACAGATTTCTATCTTTTGTTCGATAGAACTCATATATATCTATAGGTTAAGAAATAATAATTACCAAAGAATGTGAAACATGCAAACACTGTAAAATACCCTGACAGAAACTAACTCTTTGTAAGAAAATATATGGAATCCATTCGTACAAAGACGCACAGCGCGATAGTAAAGTCCGTGCTTGAGTACAACGTTATCAATTTATTTTAGTCTTAAAATTACTCAGATACAAGAAATACCAGTTAAAACAACAGGTATAGTAAAATTTTTTAATAACAACGTTTGTCTCATTAACGAATATTTTGAACACGTGGCTAAATTTAATGGACATATTCGTCCGTAGACTTGCTCATTTTCATGGAATGTTTTAAACCCCTTTTCATTAACATGCAGAGCGGCTAGTTGGCACCCTTAAAGAGTGACGCAGTCCGCGACAAGTGATATTATATGGTAATCGTATCGAATGTATGCAAATGGGCAATTGAACCAAATGCGCTCTTCGTCTAAAGCGTCGTGGCGCCGATGAAGCATGGTGACTGTTTTTGCTCCGTCGCCGTCTGCAGCCGAGCGCGACATCGACCAAGGTCACCTTCCGATCATGTCTGCTCCGCTTTCCGTCTGTCTTTCCATTACGTGCCGGCCTTGCCGTTAAGTTTTTATCGCATTGCGTTGCTACCCGCCCTATTTGATTGCTGCGATGATAAACCTGTTCGAAGATAACAATAGGGAATTTTCTTCGATCACCATTCTTTTTAGA